CTTTCCGCGTGTGTATATGGGGTGAAATCCCTGTTTTTTTTTTGTATTTATATATATATTTTTTATTATATATAATCTGTGCGCTGGAGTGCAGACAGTGGCTCTTTAGAATATTTTCTTTTTTTTTTCTTTTAAACTGGCACTCGTGAATTTCCGTGTTTTTTTTTCTGTTGTAGAAAATGTCACTTTTTTCTATAACTCAAATTTCGATTTTTAAAATCTTACAAAATTTCAAAATATAATAATTTTCGAATAGAAAAAAAATTATTTTATTTTGAATTTAATTTTCCTTTTTTGGGAATTTTTTTTTTAAATTTTGTTTCAAGAAGCTTTTCTTTTTATCGAATATATTTCGAAAAAATTTCGAAAATACATTTCTAAATTTCTTTAATAAAAGAGTAAATCAAAATTAGAATTTTTTTTTTTGGGATTAATTTCAAAAATTCATTTCCAATATTGATTAACATATTTAGAGAACAAAAAAAATCTTAATTGATTTACAAAGAAGAAAAAACAAAATTAAATTTCTGAATTATTAAAATTAAATAATTAAAATTATTTCTGAAAAATAATTTTTCATTTTCAAAAATTAATTTACGTATTTAAAACAAAAAATAAAATTTTCATAATTTATTTTTGCATATAGAAATATGAAATTAAATCCGAAAAATAATTTTCTTAATTAATTTTGCATAGAAAAATGAAATTAAATCAGAAAAATAATTTTCTTAATTGATTTTGCATAGAAAAATGAAATTAAATCCGGAAAATAATTTTCTTAATTGATTTTTCATAAAAAAATAGAATTAAATCCGAAAAATAATTTTCTCAGTTGATTTTGTATAGAAAAATGAAATTAAATCAGAAAAATAATTTTCTTAATTCATTTTCAAAAATTGATTTACAAATTTCATAAAATAAAAAAATTCTTAATTCATTTACACAAAGAAATTGAATCCAAAAAATAATTTTCTAAATTCATTGCCAAATAATGCCAAATTGATTTACAAATTTCTGTACTTAATTTTGAATATTAAAAATTGCAAATAAAATTAAATTTTCGAATTTATTTCCATTTTTCAGTTTATTTCTAATCTTAATTTATATTCAGAATAGTCAAAAATTCGTTTCCCAAAATTTTTTTAAAAAAGAAATTTTACTTTACAATTTAATTTTCGAATTAGAAGTTAAAATTTTTCCCATCCGAAAAAAAAGATCACAAACCAAAAATTCAAATTAGAAAAAAGATAACAATTTGAAAACACGGAAACTGTCTTGATTTTTCATGTCAATATTGTAAGACAGCAGAATTTGTCAAGTGTGACATTCTGTAAAACTGCTATTTGGAGTAGTTTTCTTTTTTTTTTGTCATTATCGGACTCTGGGAAGTCAGTTTTCACCATGGAGTCCCGGAAATGCGAGTGTGTTTTTTTTTTTTTTTTGCAGCCGTGTAATTCTGGTTGCTTGTGAATTCTTTTTTTTTATTATACATATATTATTATATATATATATATAATAAAGCATGCGAATCGCGTCGTGCGATTTTATAAATCGGTTATAGATCTTGATCAAAGTGCATTGTTTTGCTCGTTTTCATTTTTTTTTTTTTTTTAAACATTTGCCATTAATCTTTCTCTTTTCTCCTATATGTGGTAAATACGTTTATTTTCTTTTCACATTTTTTTTTATGTTTCCCTTTAAAAATTTGTTTTTTCAAAAAATTTGATTTTTTTTTTCGAACGGATTGCCGTTATCGACCCTGAGAATTGCGACCAAAAAAAAATTTTTACTTTTATTTGAGAATTTTTTTCTCATTGAACTATATATGAAGATGCAGAGTTTTTTTTTTTGATTTTATTTTCCAAAAAGAAATTTGTTCTAAGAATTTCCCCACGATTAAAAATACACTCTAGACTAATTATTTAATTTAGTTTAATTAATCGAATTTGTACATTTGTTGCTGTCGGTATAACCGAACTGTTTTTTTTTTTTTTTAAATTCTAATTCATCAATAATAAACTTTAAAATACTATTAAGTTATTATTATAATAATTATATTAATAATTTCTATGCACCTCCATTTTTTGTTATTCTCTTAATTTGTACATTTCTCTCGATCGTGCGGGCGGGTTTTTTTTTTCAATTTTTTCTTTTTTCAATCAAAAATGCGTGTCTGTTTTTTTTCTACCTTTATGAAGTGAAATGGAGTCGGCAGAAGAGTTTTCCCTTTTCTTTTTTTTTAAAAATAATTTCCCTTTTTTTTTGAACGATTTTTGAAAGACATCCGATCCCGAGTGCGATCAGCCTTTTGTGTCTTTTTTTTTTAGAGTCTTGAGAACTGCGAGCGATCAACAAAGTCTTAGGGTTGTAAACTCGTCGTCTGACTCGGAAATTAAATCCTGAAAATAACCAAAAGAGCGTCAAAAGTTTTTTTTTCGAAGTGTTTTCTTTTTTTCTTTTTTTTAGGCTAATTTTGAATTTCAGCGATACTTCTGTTTTGTTTCACCTGGTCAAATGTGGAAAAATTTGACGACAGGTGCAAAAGGGGTAGGGGGTGCTTTTTTGGGTTGGATGGCGGTATTTTTTTCACGAAATTATTCATTGCGTTGATTTATCGCCATCGCGAACATAACTGAAAGAGCAATCATCTCGCATTTAGTGCTGCTTTGTTACTGGCCTCCTTTCCCACTCACTTGGCATTTGATTAAAAAGAATTTTCCAAAAATGTAACTTTTTTTTTTCTCTAAAGATACAGCTTCCAAAAAAGAATTTTTCAAAAATCTTCCTTGCCAAGTGGTTGAGGAGAGGTGGAAGGTTTTGGTCGTTTCGATGCATTTTTTGTCGGAATTTTGATAGGCAGGTCGAAAGTACTAAAAGAATGTATTGATATTTGTGTTTTTTGATATAAAAATGCCTCCATTGAGATTTAGAATTTGAACGATTTAGCGTAAACTAGTTATCCATTTTTCATACTGTGTTTTGATAAATCCGCTTTTTTTTTTTTTTTTTTTTTTGAGATCCATATTTTAATCCCTTGGCACTTTCGCTTTTATCTCTTCATCTTCATTTTATTTATTTATTTATTATTATTTATTTATTTTTTTTTTAAATATTTACGCTTTGATATAATAATAATTCGAATGCGATTCAAATTAACAAATGGTCGTCGATGTTTAATTAAGAAAAACAATGAAAGATTCACAGCATCACATAAAACTGTGAGTTGAATTCTTTCATTGGCTCGCAAAATTTAATTGAAATATTTATTTTTTAAAAAAAACGACAACCATTGAAAAATTGAATTGCTATCGTATCATTGAAATATATTAAATATATTATACAATTTATATCCGACTAAAATCTTCTATAATTTTTTTTTCTCTTTCTTTCATATGGCGACACAGTCCAAAAAGCTGCGCGCGACCATTAAACTTTTTTTTTTTGCCCTCTCATTTTTTTTTTGCGAAATACCAGTTCGCTTCTTTTTTTTTTATTTTTCGCCTCTTTTTTTCTCTCCCTTTTTACATAAAAAAATTTTTTTTCACCTCCCTTTTTTTAATTTAAACCTTCCTCACACTCTACCACCTACTCCTTTAATATCGTTAAAATTCATTAAGTTATTAAAAAACATCTAACAAAAAAATTAAAAAAAAAATAAAAAAAAAAAAAAAAAAAAAAATTGAAAAAGAAAGATTTTTTAGATCTTTCCAACAATGTATCAAAAATAAACTTATATTCATATTTTTTTTCTTCTCTCTATCCTCTTCTTATTTTTCTGAGAGGGATGGACCAGAGAAGAGAAGAATAAGGGGGAGCGAGGATTCAAAAGAGAAAAACAAGAAAAGAGAAGAAACGATTCTCTTCAATTCTTCCTTTCTTCCTTTCTCTTTTATTTTTTTTTTTAAATTTTCTCTCTCTTTCTCTCGTCCCATTCACTCTCAAACCTAATCATACACACGTTCAAAAAATTTTTTTCGCCCGCTTACAGACGCGACTTAATTTCTTTGACTTTTTTTTTTCTTCTTTAAACTCGTATATCTTTGTACTTTTTTTTGTTTTTAAACGCGAATGCCGTGAAAAGAGTTATCCAACGATTAATTCGTCAGATTATTGACGAATTCCAAAAAGGTATTCGTTTATTGGAAAATTCCGAGTGCTCCATTAAAAAAAAAAAATGTACAAAAAAATCTTTTGAAAAATTATTTTAGAAAAATATTTTTTCAAAAGATTAGTGGTAATTTTTTTTTTTCATGAGAAAAATAAATTTCTTTCAGGGGGGGGTGGGAGCAGCAATTACATTTTGTCAGTCCGATATTTTTAATAACTTTTGATCAACACCAAAAATTTCAAATCTCTCACGATTTTCAATAAAATATTGCTTATTTTTAAATTGGAGAAAATAATTTTTAAAATTAATTTTGTCTAGCAAAAAAAATTTTTTTTTTTTTCCCCTTTTGAGAGCAATTTGAGAGATTTGAATTTTTGGGAGTCTAGAAATCTCAATACTAGAATACAAAAGTTCTCTTTGTCTTACTCAACTTTTCCTTTCTTTCTTTCTTTTTTTTTCTTAATGAGTAATTAATTACTTATTAATTAATAGTATTTATTCAACACACGCACACTTGCACACTATAACATCCATGGTAAAGTAAGAATCCCTGATAAAGTTTTTGCGGCTTCCTCGTACTCGTGTCGCATTTTTTCTATTAACAAAAAAAATTTTTTTTTTGTTTAGATAAAAACGCGATATAAATCGTTCCCCTCGCTCTTTGTTGTTGCAAAGGAACTTGAGGCGTTTAACACGAAAAACGTAATCGCTTCTTTGGTATTGCGTCGCGAGGGGTCGCTCTCTCACACTTTCTCTCTCTCTCTCTCATTCTCTCACTCTTTCTCTCATTGAAACAACTCCGATTTGGGTTTTTTTTTTTTTCGAATCGCCTGATCCGAATCTCAAAATCTCTCTCTGTGGATTAAACTAAAAAATTAAAAAAAGAAAAAAAAACGGTAAAAAGAACTGAATCTATTTCAAGAAAAAAAAAACAATACTACCAATTAATTAATTAATGGTAGCGACAATAATAGTAGTAGTAATAGTGTAATGTAGTATTAACCAGTTTTTTTATAACATAAAATGTGTAATTAACTTCTCTGTATATTATTTGTAACTTTAATATTAGTGTTCCTTTTTTTTCCTTCTTTTTTTTTCTCTTTAGTCAGTTATCTCATTTCACTTTTCCATTATCATCATATTTTCTTTTTTTTTTCCTTTAAATCTTTAACCGTAATGAATGAGGTAATATGGTTGTGTGTGTTTCGTCGTTGCTCCACTTTTTGTCAACGAGGTGGTTCAAATTCTTCACAATTCTTTTTCAACTGGAAACGTCCAGAAAAATTTCGTCGTTTATAAATTGTAAAAAAAAAGAAAAAAAAAATTGCAAGATTTTGAGAAAATTTTTTTGGAAAATTGTCAAAAATTCCAAAAGTTTTGCTTGCGATTTTTTTTTAAGTCTCTGAACCGATTGGGAAAAACAAAAAAAAATTTTAATACGGTTCTTGTCATTTTGAGACTTTTTTTTTTGGAGATGTTAGGAACGACGAGAGTTTTTTTTTTTTGAAGAGCAACGAGACCACCTCGACAGAGTAAAATGGAATTTCGTGAGGCGTAAGTTGGCGTAAGTTTTTTTTTTTTGTTTTTCTTTTTGATGAGCATCGTCAACGTTACTGATTTTGTTGTTGTTGTGTGGGCGAGCTCGATTGTTGAGATGGAATTTGTTGTGGCGTCGTGCTTCCTGGTTGTGATGTAGCACTGTCGTCTCTTCGGGAACGAACTCCACCTTCCTGGCTGCTACCACGTCCAGCGCGAGTGCCAACGGTGCCAGTTCCAGTTCCAGGACCCGCTGGTTGCAGGACCATCGCACGAATTCTTCTCTGAGCCGACTGTGAAGAGAATTTTTATTTAATTTTTTCATCAATATTGATTTTTATTTTATATTTTAAAAATAATTTTTCCTTTTTATTTGTAATAAAAAAAAAATCTGTCGATGAATAAAACGGATCCGAATTCATTAGGTATTATCATGATCGGTACGGGATTCTTCATTTTTATTTTCCTGATTTTTTCTGACAAATTGTTTTCATAAAACAACAATTGCCCAAATGTCACAGGTTTTGAATTTTTAAATTTGAATTGAAAAGAGATGAAAAATTTATTTTTAATAAAAAGAGAAAAATTTACTTGAACGGAGAAGAAGGGACCAATAATATGAACAGTTGTCTCTTCATCGGCTGCTGGCGGTGTGGCTTGTTGTTCCGATAGTTTAATAACACTTCCGGTCACACGTTGAAGTTCACGTACATTTTGACCGCCCTTGCCAATGATTCTACCAACTTGAGCACTTGGCACGAGAATTTCAATTGTCAATCTTACATCTTCTGTTCCAGCAACGAATCCTTCTTCGCGCATTTTTTCGAAAATCAAATATTGTGCCTGAAATAAAATTCAAAACGATTAAATTAATATTGAATTTTAATTTTTAATATTTGTGTATTATATTTTATTTATTATAATCTGTAAACTTAATATATTATTAAAAATAAAAATAATTCCAATAAACTACGTGAATGATACTTTTTTTTCCAAAATTGATTAGGAAGATTTTTTTTTTTTAATTCAATAGGGAAATAATTTCTTTTTTCAAAATCAAAAAAAATATCAATGTAAAACGAAAAAAAAAATATTAAAAAAAGAAATAAAATTTCTATAATAAAGAAAAAAATTGAATGAAGAAATATTTTTTTGTTATTAAAAATCTGTCGATGGATAAAACGGATCCGACATCGCTAGAAATATCGCGATCGGTACGGGACCCTCCATTTTTATATTCCTGGTTTTTTCTGACAAATTGTCTGCATACAACAATTGCCCAAATGTCACAGGTTGTGAATAAATGCAAAATTGAAACAAAACAAAATTAAAAAGTTAAATTAATAAATTAACTAATAAACAAATTAACAAATAAATAAATGAATATTTTAATAAATTAACAAATGAATAAATAATTTAATAAATAAGCAAAAAATTTTAAAAACTAAAAATATTAATTAAAAAGAATAATGGAATATTCTTGATATAAAAATCGAAAGAAGAAAAAAAAATAAAAAAAATTGGCGAAAGCATACCTTCCATTGAGATTCCGGCGATCCAACGATAGTGACTTTTCTTTCCGTTTGTTGTTCAGCTGGCTTATCCTGTTCGAGTGGTGCAATTTTAACGCTTGCACCGGAAAACCTGATAATATTTCTAATGTGGGAACCTTTAGTTCCAATGATAGCGCCCACACTATTATTCGGAATGTATAAAAATGTCGTTTCCTGAGTGTCACCACTTGCCGGTGCTCCCTGTTGTGTTGGTAAACTACTTTGATAAGGATATGGTGCTGGTCCGGAACCATAAAGTCCTGGTCCTCGTGAACTATAACCCATTCCAGCCGTTGACATCATTGCCATTGGATGAAGACCCGGGAACATCATACTTTGTGGCTGTTAAATAAAAAAAAAAAAAATCATCTCAATCAAATCAAAAATTTAATTCAATTTATTTTAATTTTCAATTTTTTTAATATTCAATTTTTCATTAATTTTATATTATTTAGAATAAAAAAAAAATTTGGCGAGTTTTTTTTCAACTTACAGCCATTGCTTGGAGATCGTTTTCGTAACTTTGACGCAATTTTTGTGAAATCATGGCCTCTGCCTTGCTCATATTGTCAATTGATCCTTTGACAGTGATGATACGCTCAAGATTGAAGCTGTTAATATCATTGATACTGCTCACTGTGATTTTTGTATCCGTATCCTGCATAATCCTTTTTATTGTGTTTCCTCCTTTTCCAATGATGCGACCAATCAAATTATTGTGTGCAAGAATCTTCAGAGTGATTTCACTGTTTAGGGGGAAAAAAATCATTAATTTATTTGTATAAATTCAGTAATAAAATATATTTTTTGAAAAATAATTTAATTAATTTTTTTTTAATATAAAAATTGAAACATTATTTTTCTTTTTTTGATATTGAAGTTGATTCGGAATTTTTGGCTTTTTAATTATATAATTTAAAAATACAATTTTGATTGGAAATTAAAAAAATAAATACTAACCCTTTATTGGTATTGGTGGCTTCCTGTTGCATAACTTCGAGAATTTTTTTGCAAGCGTTCGTACAATTTTCTGGATTTCCATAAATAGTGATTGCCTTCTCCAATGAACCGACATTATCCTTTCTGTGTACATCGACTCGGGCGCGGGTCATTTGTGTAATTTGCCTTATCGTCGAGCCCTGACGACCGATAATAGCTCCAACCATATCCGATTGAACCAAAATTCTTAATGGAAAATCTGTTTGACGTCCTGATCCGGGAATTCCTGAGAAAGCAACGCCACTTCTTTGACTGCGACCCCTTCGTCGTCCTTCGGCACCCATCATTTCGACTTTCAATGGATTTCCCTCAAATTCATAGCCGTTCAATTGATTCGCAGCTCTGAAAAAATTTTGTCAATTTTAATTTCGTTTTTTTCTTGTTAATTGAATTTTTAAAAAATTTCTATTTTTAAATTTTCTAAATAAATAAAAAAAAGTCATTTTTTAATTTTGAAAATTATATAATATTTTTTTTTTCTTGTTAATTGGATTATTTTTGGAATTAAATTTCTTTTTTCAAAATTTCGGTAATAAATATAAAAATTTCATTTTTTTTACATTGAAAATTATATATATATTTTTTTTAATTAATTGGATTATTTTTGAAATTAAATTTCTATTTTCAAAATTTCCGTAATAAATATAAAAATTTCATTTTCTTTACATTGAAAATTATATAATATTTTTTGTTTCCTGTTAATTGAATTATTTTTGAAATTAAATTTCTATTTTCAAAATTTCCGTAATAAATATAAAAAATTAATTTTCTTTACATTGAAAGTTATATACTTTTTTTTCTTGTTAATTGGATTATTTTTGAAATTAAATTTCTATTTTCCAAATTTTCGTAATAAATATAAAAATTTCATTTTCTTTACATTGAAAATTATATAATATTTTTTTTTCTTATTAATTGGAGTATTTTTGAAATTAAATTTCTATTTTCAAAATTTCTGTAATAATTATAAAAATTTCATTTTCTTTACATTGAAAATTATATAATAATTTTATACTGAAAACCAAAAAGAAACAAATATTAAAAATAGGAATAAAAATATCGAAAAAAAATGATTAAATCAATAAAATATCCTTTTTTTTGTAATTAAAAATCTGTTGATGGATAAAACGGATCCGAAATCACTATAAATTATCATGATCGGTACGGGACCCTCCATTTTTATTTTCCTGGTTTTTTCTGACAAATTGTCTGCATACAACAATTGCCCAAATGTTCCAGGTTGTGAATATCAAATGAAAAATTTGAAAAAAAAAAAATACCATTGGAGAATTAAAAATAGAAAAATTTTTTTGTTTCTAAAAATCCTAGTATTCAAAATTTGCTTTTTCAAAAATCTCTTTGGATTATAAAAAAAAATAATTTTTTTTCTACAAAAATTTATTATTTTAAAAAACGTTTTATTATTATTACTATTATTATTCATAATAATTATTATTTATTATAATTATTATTTTTAACAAAAATTGATGGTAAAATTAAAATGAAATAATTTGAAAAATAAAGAAAGAAAAAATGATATACTCACTGATGTGCTTGTTCGACGGTTTCGAAAACGGCGTGAATACTTTGCGAGACTGGATCGCGCGATGCAACTTTTTCAATGTTCTGAATTTGTCCATAATTTGAAAGCAATTGTTGGACATCGTCGAGTGTGATGTGAGGTGGCACATTACTCATTAAGATTTTATTTGCGGCACCACTGCTGAAAGCAAATAAAACACACACACACATGTTAGTTATTCAACAACAATATATATAAATGCTCTTAAAGAGCTGAGAAATAGAAAGACGATATCATTCTCTAAAGATAAGACCAATACCAACAACATTTATATATACTCAAGTTCAGAATCTTAGTCATTCATTTTTAATAAAAAAAAAAAAAAAAATTTCATATAAAATATAATAATACGTTTTTACATTTTTGTTTTTATTTTAATTTTTATTTTATTTAATTTTTATTTAATTTTTATTTAATTTAATTTTTATTTAATTTTTATTTAATTTTTATTTAATTTAATTATTTATTTAGTTTAATTTTATTTTATGTTTCTATATTTTATTTTTTATATAGAAATAAAAAAGAGACGACTTTTAAATATAAAAAAAATTAAAATTCAACTGATAAGCGGAAATCGTTTTGAAAATTATAATCGATGGGAGGAAAAAAAAAAGCAAAAATGTTTTCGTGCCGATAATAATAAGTTTGGGTTGTTGAACTGGGCAAATTGCCCTAATGAAAGGGACAAAGATATAGACTCGTGCTTCCGACAAGAATAAAAAAAAAAAAAGTCAAAGTTTGTGCCTCTTTCAATTTACACAAATTTGACATTATTAGCAAAAAAACACGAAAATAATTTCAAATACAAAAATTTCTTTTTTTTCGTAATTTTTTTATTATTCTTTTAGAAACAATTTTTTAAAATTATTAAATTAATAATAGAAAAAACGTGTAAAAAATTGTTTTTTTAATATTTTCCGAGGACTTTTTTTTGTTTTTTTTTTTTTTTTTTTGGTTCAAAGAAGAGGAGAGGAAGGAAGACAGGAAACTTTTTCTGAATGGAAGAGAGATTGTATGTATTGTTCCAATATATGGGCTCTCTGAAATGTAGAGCAGAAGTGGAAAGAAAGCAAAACGAATGAAACGAGAATGGAAGACCTTGATCCCCTCTCTACTTTTTCTTCATTTTGCCTCCTGATAGTTAGTCATCGTCCAAGTGATTAGCCGGCGTCTGTTATTCGTCCTTGTCTCGTAAAAAAGCCGGCTTGAGAGAGCAGATTGCACGTGTGCACCTAATTCATATTTCGTGTGTGTGTATTTTGCCCCCCCCCCAAAATTTTTTTTTTCCTTACTAATATTCTCATTTTGATTTTTGTAATAATTTTTTTTTCAATAATTTTTTTTTTACTTCTTCCCTTAAAAAAGAATCAAGTTAAACAATCGAAACAAAAGTTAATCAAAATTCATATATTTGGCATTTTTAAATATAAAAATAATTTATAATTTTTTTTTTATTTTTAAATAGAATATAATATATAATTTTTTTTTTTATTTTTAAAATTTATAAATTTTTTTTTTATTTTTAAATAAACAGAAAATTTTTTTTTTTAATAAAAATAAAAAATTGAACTAATTTTTGTGTCTTTGTTAAAATTTAATAAAAAAAAAAAGAACGATTGTAATTTATAATTCTTTTAATGATAAAATCACTAATTGTAAAAAATTTCGAAAAATAATAATCCTTATTTTTTATCTCTTTCTATTTTTTGATATTATCGAAAACACCATTAAAAAAATATTGTATATCTAATAAGAAACGTCACAAAATTTCAAGGATATTATTAATGTCACTCATTTAGAATTCTTCCTTGTAGTTTACTCGTTTCCTAATTACAAATTATTAGCCTCATCATGATTATTGGATACAATGTTGCTTATCTTGATTCTTGATAATTTTACACAAAAAATATAAATTTACTTTTTCGAAGAATAATTTTTTCAAAAAAAAAAAAAAAAAAACTTCAAATTCTAATTATAAGGGGATAATTATAAAAAACATGCAATTAGCCTAAATAATTTACCAAAATTTGCTAAAAAAAAAAAATTATTACAAATAAATTAATTAAATAATTAAATAATAATAATAATTTAAAAATTTAATTTTGGTTTAATTATATTTTTTAATTTTTTATCGATTAATATGAAACCATCCCATTGTCAAAAACAACAATTGTTTGCAAAACTAAAAAATAGGTTTTTTTATTAACAAACAAAAAAAAAGCTTTTCAGGGAATTTTTTTCAGTATCCGTTTTCATCCAATCATAGAATAGAGGATGAGAAGAGTAAAAAAAAAAAGGTGCGGAAAAAAAATGTAAGTTGGTAAACGAAGGTTGGGATTTACTGATCTTGCGCAATTCTCATAGATGGGATTTGATACGATTCTCAAAGAGCCATTCAAATCGAAAAAAAAAGATGATTGTCTCGCGACCCAACTTTCAGGGAGGTCTTGTTTGTCCACTCTTATACACACGGGATTGGAAAAGGTGGAGGTGGAGGAGGAGGAAGTGTTGCTTGCTGTGAGAAAGAAATCGTAATGATATGTATATATAATATTCTGGGTGCATTGAGATAATAAATTATTATAATCGGAACAAATATATTATAATTAATTAAAACAAAAAAATTAATTTTATAAAAAAAAAGTTATTCACAATTTGTATAAAAAAAAAATAATAATGTATAATATTGATAATAACAATAATTATTTTTAATATTAATTAATTATTATATTAATATTAATTAATTATTATATTAATATTATTATTATTTCATTGATAATTATTTAATATAAATAAATTATTATTTGATAATACTCAAGTAACCGATTATTTGAATCAAATTTTTTTTTCTTTGAAGTAAGTATTTAAATTTTTTTAATCATTATTAAAAATAACATTTTTTTTTGCAAAATTTGGGATTTATTTTTTTTTTAATTAAAGAAGGTTCGTTTTTTTTTTTTTTTGTTAAAATTTTGTTTTCTAGTTAAAGCACTGTGGAGTTTAAAGCAGACTCAACAAAACACGCGAATGGCTTGATATCAGATTCATTTAAAAGTTGCTCAAAAACGTTTGTTGAACGTCGGTTGAAATCAATATAATTGGCTACAATTTATAGTGTATTAAAAAAAAGCTTCTTTAAATAGAATGGAAAAAAATTTTAACTTGTAAATTATCAAAAACAATGTTTTAGACTTAAATAAATTAAAAAAAAAAAATAAATAAATTAGAAAATGAAGAATAAATACTTGGGTATTTATTATTCTAATCATTTACCTTATATTACATATTACATGGAAACGGTCATCTAATTTCGTAAAATCCGCGATATAGTTCCGTGGAATCCGTGATTTTAATTTCGCGACATCCGTGAATTAGAATCGTAGAATCTGTGATTTAGTTTCGCAAAATCCGCGGTCTAGAATTGTAGAATCCGTGATTTAGTTTCGCAAAATAGAGTCGTAGAAACCGTGATTAACTTTTACAAAATCCGTGATCTAGTTTCGCGAAATTCGTGATTTAAAATCGTACAATTCGCGATATAGTTCCACGGAATTGGCGATTTAATTTTATAAAACCCGGGACCTATACAATCGTAAAATCCGTGACGAAGAATCGTACAATCCGCGATCTAGTTCCGCGGAATTCGCGATCTAATTTCGCGAAATCCGCGACTTAGAATCCGTGATTTAAAATCTGCGATTCAGTTTCGCTGAATCCGCGATTTAATTCCTCAGTTTCTCGAAATTCGTGATTTAATTTCGCAAATTCCGCGATCTAGTTTCGCTGAATTCGCCATTTAATTTCTGAAAATCCGTGACGTAGTTTCGCGGAATTCATAATCTACTTTTACGTAATCTGCGATCTAGAATCGTAGAATCCGTGATTTAGAATCTAAGTATCCGCGATCTAGTTTCGCGGAATTGGCGATTTAATTTTACGAAATCCGCGACCTATACAATCGTTAAAACTGTGAAAAGCTTCGCGGAATCCGTGCGATAAACAAAATTCATGATTTAGTTTCACGAAATTCGTGATATAATTTCGTAAATTCCACGATTTAGTTTCGATGAATCCGCGATCTAATTTCTCCACATACGTGATATATTTTTACGTAATCCGCAAACCAAGAATCGTATAGAATTCGTGATTTAGAATTTTAGAATCCAGGAATTCGTTATCTAATATCGTAGAATCCGCGATTTACTTCATCAGTTTCGCGAAATTCGTGATTTAATTTCGCAAATTCCGCGATTTAATTTCTAAAAATCCGTAAAACAGTTTCGCGGAATTCGTAATCTACTTTAGCGTAAACCGCGATCTAGAATCGTAGAATCCGTGATTTAGAATCTAAGTATCCGCGATCTAGTTTTGCGGAATTGGCGAATTGATTTTACGAAATCCGCGACCTATACAATCGTTAAAACCGTGAAAAGCTTCGCGGAATCCGTGCGATAAACTTTCACAAAATTCATGATTTAGTTTCGCAAAATTCGTGATATAATTTCGTAAATTCCGCGATTTAGATTCTATGAATCCGCGATCTAATTTCTCCACATACGTGACATCTAATATCGTAGAATCTGCGATTTACTTCCTCAGTTTCGCGAAATTTGTGATTTAATTTCGCAAATTCCGCGACCTAAAATCTGTGATTTAAAATCTGCGATTCAGTTCCGCTGAATCCGTGATCTAGAATCGTACAATCCGCGATTTAATTTCGCAAATTCCGCGATCTAGTTTCGCTGAATCCGACATTTAATTTCTGAAAATCCGTGACATAGTTTCGCGGAATTCGTGATCTACTTTTGAGTAATCCGCGATCTAGAATCGTGGGATCCGTGATTTAGAATCTAAGAATCCGCGGTCTAATTCCGCGGAATTATCGATCTGATTTTACAGATTTAGTTTCGCGAAATCCGTGATATAATTTCGTAAATTCCGCGATTTAGTCTCGTTGAATCCGCGATCTAATTTCTCGACATACGCGATCTATTTTTACGTAAACCGCAAACCAAGAATCATATAGAATTCGTGATTTAGAATACACGAATTCGTGATCTAAAATCGTAGAATCTGTGATTTACTTTCTCAAGTTTAGAAAATTCGTTATTTAATTTCGCAAATTCCGCGATCTAATTTCT